ACGAGTGATTTTCAGGCACTGGGGCGGTAAAGATGAAAGAAAGTCTCCTGTCTCAAGAAACTCATGAGCATGTGGCTGTAGAAATAGACACCAAATAAGCAAAATGTCCTTGACATTGAAGATGGGCACTGAAGGCGTTGGCCGGGAGGAAGGGTCGTGGGGAAGAGAACCGTCTACTGAGCAGAAAAAACCATGAGCAAAAATTAAGAAGCGGCCAAGGAGAATTTGCCTTGGGGAGCTCGATGAGGCCCTCACGGAGTGAAGGCGACACCGTAAGGCAGCGGGAAGCCTGTGAAAGACCCAGAGCCACAAAAAGCAGCCTCGAGCTGATGCAGGAGGCGGTGCGGAGGGCTGGGGGCGCCCAAAGCCAGAAGGGGGCGCGTTTCGTCCCTCATTCGCTCATTCATTCAACAAACAGCTGGGGACCTGCTCTTCTCCTGGCACTGCGGTGGGAGCTGGAGGTGGGCAGATGAACACACGAGAACCGCTCCGGTCCCTCCCGATGCGTGTGACGCGTCCCCGAGACGGGGCTATGCAGACAGACAGCGTGGTGACGTGAAGCGGCGAGGAGGGCCCAGGGGGCGTGTAGCAGGGGCCACCCAGAGGCGAGGGTGAAGGGCAATCGTGACAAAGGCGAGACGGGAGGAGCCACGTCAGCCAGGCAGAGCGGGGCAGGGGAAGGGGGAGAGGGCAGCCCGTCCCCGGGGAAGGGACAGCGCGAGAGGAGGCCACAGGCGTGCAGGCCGGGTGTGCACGTGCAGCGCTGCAGAGGCCGCGGGCGCGACGCCGGGAGGCGGGGCAGCGGGGCCCGCAAGGCGCAGGTGGTGCTGTGACCAAGGCAGCTCTGGCTACTCTCCCGAGGGCGGAGATGCTGTGCCGGCCACACGGGAGGGGTGCAGGGCCGGGCGGCAGCCGGGGGGAAAGGGGGAAACAAAGCCCCGGCTGCCACAGGCCAAGGTCAGATGGACCAGGATGTGGCGGCCACAGGAGGCAGGGAATGAAGGAAAGAGATGGAGGGCTCCGAGCCCTGAGCCTGGGCACGCAGCCGGGGGTGTTAACTGAGACGGCACAGGAAGAAAGGTGGGCTAGAGAAGAAACAAAGGAAGAAGTAGGGCCTAGGAGCTTGGGTGCTGGGTCCCAACACAACATCCCCGATCAGCACCCTCAACCAAGCGGCCACCTGGCCTTTGACAAGCGGCTCGGGGAACGGGGACCTCACCGCTTTCCCAGGCGGTGGGCTCCAGCACCTGGCAGGCCCGATGCTTAGGACAGTTGTTCTTTTTCACACGGAGAAAACGCCTGCCTCCCTGGCGCTTGATCCACCGACCCTGGACCCACACTCGGGAGCAAACCACAAGCAGCCATTCCCTCTCCCGGTCATATTTCCCATTAACTGGAGAAGATGGGCCATTTCTAACTCCCATAAAATGCTTGGAATCATAACCCTGTGGGATGCTCGTGCCCAAGAGGTGTGCTTCATTTTTACGACGTCATTTCACATCGGGGGAGATGAAGCTCTGGAAAGAGGGGTGACTGTGCCCCCCCCCAGCTACGCTGCTGATTCCAGGGCTGAGACGCCTGACCCCACCCAGTGCTCGCTCAGTACATCCTGCAGCTGCCTGTAATCTAACTCCAAGACCTCACGCTCAGAGCATCCCCATCTCAGGGGGAGTTCTAGGCTCTGCTCTCAGGAGACCCATTGGAATTAAGCAAGGTTGAAAAATAAATAAACCCACATAAAGTACGAATAGCACTGCCATGAAAGCAGACAGCAATTCGGTACCTTTTTTACGGCCCCACCTGCCTGAAACAGAAAACTCAAGGGTTTCAATGAAACAGACTGCAAAGTTGTGTTTACCGAGAGGAGAATGTCTCCAAAGGACCGGCTGGGAGAGCACGGGTGTCTGCGGCCACGGGAGGGGCTCCACGGCAGCCTTTGTGACCCGATAAACAGCCTTTTCTAGAGTCTCGGGATCTCTGAGTCAGGAGGGTAGCAGGTCGTCCTGTCCAATGGTCCCCAGGGCTCACCTTCCTCCCATCACACTACCTGTGTTTGCACAGGCATCCTGGTGCATATTCCTCTCCTCCCAGGGCAGCTCAGGCCAGCACTGGACAGAATGATCCTCATTATGGACAAGCTGGACCTTGGGCTCCCTGCCACGTCCCTGCATAGATTCAGGGGCACCTGACTCATCGTGACCTCTGTCAGGTGACAGCCCTTTGACTGTTTGCTGAAGCTGATCATGTACACCTGGAGCCTCCGCTTCTCCAAGGTAAACAGCCTCCATTCTTCCCACTATGTCTAGTGTAACAAGGTTGGAACTGGCACTGGCACTCCCTTAGATCCCCCTGAGTGTGCTGACTTACCTCGACTGTTCTACAAGTATAGCACCCAGAAATGAATGCAGTGGCCCAGCTGTGGACTCACCTGTTAAATGAAATGTCACCTTCGTCATTCTAGCTAGAATACTTCTGTTAATGTATCCAATCACCCAGCCCCTACTTAAAGCAGTTTCTGATTTGGCCCCAAGGGTTGGATTTATTGTTAAGCTTCATGGCTACAGGTGTAGGACCTACCCCCAGTCTGTGCGGGTTGCTTCAGAGCATTTTTCTCAGTCCTCCCTGTTTCCTATCATCTATCGGCCAGTCTAATAAAATCATTCAAAGTTAAGGATCACAGTCATCCCATCAGGGTAGGAAAGACAGCACCATGACAGAAAAGAGCCTTCCAGGTGACATCAGCACATCCCTAAGCACAGCCAGCTTCGAATGCTCCATAACCCAGATCAACTTCTAGTCTCTCCTCTGAGAAACTGCACCATTTACCTTCAGGGGGCCACCCCTCCCCCAATGTCACTCCTTATGTTTCAGGGAACTCCTCTCTACCCTATGACTAGAAGCAGGCACAGGGCTCAGGGCTGCCCTCACTAGCCTCTCCAACCACAGTGACTGGTCTCTGGACAAGCAACCAGAAGCAAGCCTGGAGAATTGGGGGTAGGAAGAACTCCTCTTTCTACAGAGACCAGGGAGGGTAAGTTGTAAACTGAAGCTTCTTCTGTTAGCAAAAGCTACCCTGAAAGAAACCACAGAAAAGTGAAGCGAAGGGATGAAGAGACTGAGCTGCACACATATCATCTGAGCCCCTGGATCCAACCCTACCTGAAGCCTGCCCACCTTCAAACTTATGAGTTTTGTTAGCCCCCACATTTTCTTTCTGTCCAAATCTTCTAGGGTTGAGTTTCTATCAATGAGGGCCAATCAAAATTCTGCAACTTCCCTCAAGGCACCCGGAAAGGTCATGTGACGCCCCGTCAAACCCTTGCCGATGCCTGCTACCTCACTGCAGCCCCGATCTACAGCATGGTTTTGTAGTTAAAACCTCCAGCTCTGGAATCCAATAACCCAGGCTCCATCTTGACTGGCTTTGGGGGTTTGGGCAGATCCCTGAAGCTTACCTGCCCTGCCTCATCTCTACTTACTACAAGGGGTTGTTGCGGTGAAAGAGCAAACATGTGTAAAGTCCTTACAGCAATGCCTGGCAGGTAGAAATGCTCAAAATACTAGCAGCTTATATTGTTGTTTTCATCATCACGATTGTTATTATTGTTATACTATTAATATCATCATCATTATTATTATTATTAATGTCTTAGCAGCCTAGTTATACTGGGAAAGTCAATGTTTTAATGTATTATACCTAGTCTGGCACCGGCTGCACTTAACCCTGTTTTACAGGGGCTCCTCTGCCATCCCCAGGAGAATGCTTCTTTATCTCTCTCCCAGGATTATCACCAGCTCACCTCCCTCCCTCTGATCCCTTTGCCGAAAATTAACCATCCATACCGCCGTGGCATAATTTCTTCTCTCTAGCTGCTTAGATGAAAGCGCACCACCTCCAGGGATGCAGGGGCAGGGAAGGGACAGGGCGTGGTGCCGGCCCTCCCCTGCTCCACGGGTGCTCAGTTCCACCTCGTTTATATTCAGCCTGCCTAACTCAGGGCAAATCTCAGAAAGTGAAGTGGAACTCCTAATTAAAAGGTAGCCTTGAGCTGTCAATAAAATTGTGCATCAAGAAAATGTTGAAAAACACAGTGGTGACTTCCTTGAGTCAGATCTTCCTTTGAGTTAATTTTTCTCTTTTAACTCAAGTGTGGGGGTAAATAAAAAGAAAGCGTGCCTGGCAAGGCTGCCATGCCTTCCCTCCCCGAAGCCCAGAAAACCGTCTTTGATACGCAACACACAGCATTTGAAACTGCTGGCTGGGAGGATGGCAAGGCCCGTCTTTGCCACGGATTTCTGGAACGTGGCAGGGATTAGCGTCACTTTTTATTCGTGTGAGGAGGGCCACTCCTCTGCTGCGTTCCTGTGCTCGGCCACCAGAATGACTGATCACCCCTCACCCCCAGCCTGGCCGGTGGCTCCGACATCCATCCCCCGCAGCCCCTGGACTTGCCTCCTCGCACCACGCACAGCGACATGCAGCAATCGCCACTGTGCTGTGAGGGCCCAGGTGCCTTATCACCGGACGCCCAGCACCTGGTTCAGCAGAGCTGGGAAACCACAGCAGTCACAACAAAATGTCAAATATGTGGATGGGTGGATGGATGGATGGATGGATGGATGGATGGATGGATGGATGGAAGAATGAAACATCTGGCTCCATGAATAGCTAAGGGATCCCTCCAGGGCCCAGCCTTTTCCCCATCAACGGTCCACGTGCAAAGCTGGACATTGCAAAGCTGGCCTCCGACATTGGTGTCACCTCCGCCATGCCACTGCGCCCAGGCGCCCCTTTTTTGCTTCTGTGTCTATCTGTTCCCTGACTCCCTCCAATCACCTGCGTGAACCGAGGTGCGTCTTTCCCTGTGACCGGGCACGGGCATGCCATTCCGCAAGATGACAAGCTGGGATGAGATGACTCGGAGGCTCCTGGGACGCAGGGACAGCCAGCGTTCCCTCTCCTCCCCACTCCCCTCACGTCAGGAAAGCTCCCGTCTTACCTTCAAAGCTCCCGGCGAACAGGTAGAGCCAGGTGATGGCGGGGATGCAGAGAAGAGTCAGCGAGGCAGCCAGGAATTTCCGTCTCCCCCTGCAGATCCCCAGCATCCTCTCGGAAGGGGCACTCCCTAGTCCCAGAGCCGTTCCTCTGCCCGGAGCGCGGAGTCCTCGGCCTCCCTCATAATACTGCCTGTAAGGGAAGAGCAGAGGGGGAGGGCTGAGCTCCGAGCGCTGCGAGCGGGTGCAGGCTGCCGAGCGAAAGCCCGCAGATCCTGAGGGCAGGCCGACTCGTCTGCGGTTTCCTGCTAACCTTTGTCCCAAGAGGTGATGCTGCAGTCCTGCGCTCTATCAAAGCTGAGACAGTTCTTTAAAAATAAACAAAGAGCCAGGCTGGTGTGGCTCAGGGGTTGAGCATCGACCCATGAACAAAAAGGTCCCTGGTTCAACTCCCGGTCAGGGCGTGTCTGGGTTGTGGGCTCCATCCCCAGCAGGGGGCGTGCAGGGGGCAGCCGATCAATGTCTCTCTCACTGATGTGTCTGTCTGTCCCTCTCCCCCTCTCTCTCTAATGTGCGCACACACACACACACACACACACACACACACACACACACACACACACACACAGGCATTTTATGCTATAGGTTACTTTTGAAGCCTGAACTAACACACTCATGACGGGAGCATTTAGTTAACACCTTGTATACACCAAGCACTAACCGGGTGCTCTGTTTTGAAACAGCAGAATGACAGCTGGCTTCAAAGAGCAGCCCAACAAGAGAGCCCACCATGAAACACCCCTAGGACCCCAAGAATGTGACCACTGAGACTGGCAGGAACCTCTACGAAGGACAATGAAGCTGCTGACCGATCCGTGCATGGTCAGGGTGGCAGAACAGTCCCCGTGTTCCAGGCAGAGGAAACAGTGGAAGGCACAGGGGCCGACCGACAACACACCCACAGGAAAGGAGACTGGCTAGGCCACAAGATCACCTGCAGGGGACCACAGGAAAGGAGACTGGCTAGGCCACAAGATCACCTGCAGGGGACCACAGGAAAGGAGACTGGCTAGGCCACAAGATCACCTGCAGGGGACCACAGGAAAGGAGACTGGCTAGGCCACAAGATCACCTGCAGGGGACCACAGGAAAGGAGACTGGCTAGGCCACAAGATCACCTGCAGGGGACCACAGGAAAGGAGACTGGCTAGGCCACAAGATCACCTGCAGGGGACCACAGGAAAGGAGACTGGCTAGGCCACAAGATCACCTGCAGGGGACCACAGGAAAGGAGACTGGCTAGGCCACAAGATCACCTGCAGGGGACCACAGGAAAGGAGACTGGCTAGGCCACAAGATCACCTGCAGGGGACCACAGGAAAGGAGACTGGCTAGGCCACAAGATCACCTGCAGGGGACCACAGGAAAGGAGACTGGCTAGGCCACAAGATCACCTGCAGGGGACCACAGGAAAGGAGACTGGCTAGGCCACAAGATCACCTGCAGGGGACCGCATCTCCAGCGCTGGGCAAAACCTCCAGGCACTCAACAGGAACTGTCTTAATAACGCTCATCTTTAACATGGAAGAAGATGCCGGAAAAGCATGGAAGAGAAGTGAATGTGCAGAGAATGGGGAGAGGCATACCGGTCTGCAGAGGGACAGTCCTCAGGCCACGCACTGGACTGGCTGAAAGGTGCTGCAAAGGGGAAGGAGGAGGTCCACACAGATGCAGCACAGGGCCCACAACCTTTCGCCTGAGTATATGACCAGCAACGCATGTGACTTAGAAAGGAATTGAAAACCAACAGACCATGAAATCCCACCTCCACCACCTCCTAACACAGATGTCACATTGGCTATAGGTGGAGCGAGAAAGTCCACGTGGAGCCTCCCTGACAGAGCAGAACCCACCCCTGGGGGCTGCTCACATACAAGGCTTCAGGTTCTCAGAGAAGGGGTGTCCCCTTAGATACTCTCACAGTGGGTCCTTCCCTCTGTCGTAACCCTAAACCCCACATGATGATGGTCTGTTGAACTGTGTCCCTTCTCCACCAGCCCTGGTGTTTCCAGAAGACCGGTGGCCTGTCGGATGTACCCGGCGTCCCTAAGACTTAATGTTCCGCCTGTCACCAGCAGGTGCCTGATAACTGTCTGCTGAACAAATAAATGGAATTGGATTCTACCCAAAGGCGACCCTCTGGAGCTTCAGGAGTTTGTGTTCAGCAAGTTGCCAGCAATAAACACCTCACGGAGCCCATCTCAGCTGTCCACGCCAGGCTTGCTTCGCAACCTCCCTGGCACTTTTCTAAATGGCCCTCTTGAAACAGATGAGAGACCACAGGGCTGCAGGGTGTGCACAGGAAAGCAAAGCCAAAAAAGCAAAATCCCTTTGAACCAAGAATGCTGACTTAAGAAAAGGCTCCCCCAGGGAAGGAGAAACAAAACCCCCAAAAAACCGCGCTCATCACTAAAAATGAGCATCGGAAATGCTGGCAATCTCGCGGGAGGAGGGAGCGCTGGGGAAAGAAGGCAGTGCAGTCAGGCAGCTGGGCTCAGATCCAGTGCCACACCTACTAGCTATGACCCCGGCAAGTCCCCTGTCTCTGGGTCGGCTTCATTACAGTCACCTACACAGTGAAGACACACCCTCGGTCTGGGAGTGAGGTTATGAGGCTTAGTAAGAAACCCCTTGAGCCGTGGCCAGTGTGCTCAGTGGTTGGCGCGTCGGCCTGTGAACCGAAAGGTTGTGGGTTCGATTCCCAGTCAAGGACACTTACTTGAGTTGCAGGTTCAATCCCTCGCCCTGGTCTCTCTCACATCATCGATGTTTCTCTCTCCCCCAACCCTCCCTTCCACTCCTTTCTAAAAGAATCGGTGGAAAAAGTATCCTCAAGTGAGGATTAATAACAACGAAAAAATACCTTGAGAGACTAGCAAAGACCCATCAAGCATATGGCAGGGAGACCCCCCCCCTTCTTGGGAACCCAAGGGCACCCTTACTTATGTTTTTCTCTCCCCCTCCTACCCCCCCACAGGGTTTGGCAGAAAACAGATCCCAACAAGTGGGTGATGACTGACAAGCCAAGTGGCTGATTTAAACCTGAACGAGCTACCTACTCAATTCTCCTTCAGGAGTTACCACCACATTAAAATCACTTCTTTAAAAAATAGTTCACTTATAATAATAAAGACAACTAACAGTAAGTAGTACTTACGATATATCCAGCATTTTTCTATGATTTTCACTTAATTCTCAAAATAACCTATTTTTCATCCCTGTTTATGGATAAGAAAACCAATGCCTAAAAAGATTAATTAGCTGGCCAAAGGTTACCCACGCCTATGGCAGGGCCACCCCGGGCTCGTGGGGCCACCCCTACGAAACCGACTCTAGCAACCTTGGGGGGGTGTTTTCCTTTTGACCTAACCTCCATCCCTCATACTGAATCTTATGAGTATTTCCTTTCCCAGGGTCAAATATATCACCAAAGTTTGCTCCTGAAAAAAGCAGAATAGACAGAAATACAATTGGAAAGCTATAGGTGAATTTACACTTCAAGGGAAAGTAGGAATATACATGAAACCGAACTCAAGTGGCATTGATATTTAAATAACATTTTAAAAAACTCCTTAAAACACTTATTTTCCTCTCTCCATCTGCACAAGTTCATTTCAACTCGCACAATTTATGTAAAGTTTTAAAACAGAGTCAAGGTTGGCTTGCATTTTATGATAACGCCGGCACCTGAAATTAAACTCAGCGGGTGAAAAAATACTCCTTCATGGATTTGACTTTTAAATGACACCTCTGTGCACTAAAGACACATTTTAAAGAAAAAGCTCCATTTATGTCAGAAGTTACTCCAGGAAGTCGATACAGCAATCGACACAAGAAGAGAAAAGAGGGGAGGAAACTGAAGGAGGGCTGGAAATTACATCCCAAACATGCAGATGACCTAGAAAATGACAGCCACTCTCTAACTGGCCCCTGCCTGGTGAAAGGGAGTCTGTCCCACCTGTTCCCCTGGGTGTCTAAGAGTCATCGCTAACCGCCCGTCCCTCAAACCCAACATCCAGTTGCTTTTTTTTTTTAAATTGATTTCAGAGAGAGACAGGGAGAGGGAGATAGAAACGTCAATGAAAGAGAAACATGAATCGGCTGCCTCCTGCAATCCCCAACTGGGTACTGAGCCCAGGACCCAGGCATGTGCCCTGACTGGGAATCGAACCTGCGACCTCCCGGTGCCTGGCAAGATGCTCAACCCACCGGGCCACACAAGCTGGGCAACGTTCACTTTCTTGACCAAGCTGGTCAATTTCTCTTCCTAAACATCTACTCCACTCGGCTCCTCCCAGGCCTTAACCAACAAACACCACATTTATAGGGAACATTGTATGAGCCAGAAAAATGATCACAACCTATTAAGCCACAAAGAGGATTCAAAGCTGAACACAAAATGTGACTGCAAGTGTCCTTCAGCCCACGGTAATAAATTGTGTGCGCACACGTATAAATATCTCTGTAACTATAGATATGAAAAAAGGTAGAAGCACTGAAAGTCATCTCCGTGTATAGAATACAAGTCATTTCAATTATATGAATATATTTTCCCCAAACTTTATACAAGGAGTATGCATTGCTTTTATAATTTAAAAATACTTAAAAGCTTGACATCACCATGTCTTCCCTTCAACACTGCTTGTGATTCAAAATACCTCAGAGCAGACAGTGTAGTACACAAGCGTTAGTTTTACTCTATTTGCTGGGTGAGCTGAGCTAACACCAGCAGGACCCTAATTGGGAATATATACCCTGCAGGGGTGGCTGGTTACCATTTGAAAGACTCTAGTCAGAAGCCCACATTCCAAACACTGGCTCCAGACCTCCCCAATCAACACCGGAGGCTATCTTTTAATTAGCATCATGGGTGTTAGAAATGATTTTTCAAGACTGTTCAAGATGCATGGGTTGTCTAGAAACATTGCACATGAAAAGGGAATAAAAATCTAACCTTCAAAAAAAAAAAGTCTAAGAAACTCTTCAGAATCACTTAGGATCCCAAACTGATCCCATGGGCGTTGAACAGATTTGGGCCATAGGTTTTAGCTAGAAGATTGGCTGAATCCTGTCAATCACATATGGTCAGCCTAGTGTCCAGTGACCCTTTCTTGCAAGGTGCTGTCCCAGTTC